CACTCCCCAACTCCACGAGTCCACGATGAGTTGGTTATTTGTTACGTGAAATACATAATAACTTAAATAATAAAATAACAATTTTAACTTTGTGTTAAAAATAAATAAATAAAATTAAATAAATAAACAGTAAGAGTGTGTGTGTGTGTGTGTGTGTGTGTGTGTAAAATAAAAATAAATAAATAAAACAGTCATCCCTCACAGCTAAATCGAGCTCCCTAACCTGCGACAACTTTCAGATGAACTATCCTCTCACACCAGCGTAATTAGGATCTGACATTACCGCTGCACTCATGGTTACAATACATGTATCAAACAAACAACAGTCGTATTTAGATACAGGATTGATGTTGAGGAAAAGTGTGTTTTTGCAATAATGAAACTGAAAGCATTTGTCATTAATTTCATGTTTATGTTTGTGTGGAGTATTTCTTTAAGAACATGACTTTAGACATCATGAAAAAGAAATATTATATTCTTTTATGAAAAGATGGATATTCATAGTAAAGAAAAGCCTAGGCTATATATTTAAACCTCTTTATCTTATATGAAAAATATTATATTCTGTCCTTTAATGTAGGCTATTTTATTTGGATTTTCGTATGAGATGAATAATATTCAATAAAAACAACAGTTGTATTGTCTATCAGGCAAGATCCTTTTTTAATTAAACACAATATAACCTTTGGGATACGTTGTTAACCTTTGAATGGTGATATGAAATGTTGTGTAGTTTCGGAATTAAAAAATCCTACATGTTAACCGGCGAAGTCACACAGAACTCACATTAAAATAAAGGTCCCCCATCACTGGTTTTGGATGCCACTCATGCAAACGGAGTAGAAGTAGGTAGGGAGAGGGAGGTGCAAGCAGTTTTGGAAAGGCCCAGAGAGAGGCGGGGGCAAGCCGGGGTGTTTACCTGAGGTGTAGGTGTGTGCGAGTGTGTCAGAGTGTGGTGAGAAGAGAACACCGAGGCAGGTGCAAAGCATACTTAAAACCAATAATAAGAATGTTCGTGGTCATAAAACCTGCTTTCACAGGGTGGTATAATGTGAACATTTGAGATTTGGCAATCATGATGCCGGCTCAACTTTGTGATGTCTGTTAGCCATCGCTAAATATATCTGCGAGTCTGTAGTTACAGTCCAAACCACACTGGACATGTAAACGTGAGCTGAACCTAACACAGCTTCCAGCCAAACAAAGTTATCGAGCTCCTCTTTGAAATGTGCAATGGTGTGAAATCTCAAAGTTGCAGACAGTCGTGTAGTGGTTGAGAAATGGTTTCTCATAGCTTTGGACAGAATTTAGGAGTGCTGGTAAAGGGATAAACCTGATGTGAATATGCTACATAGAAAATAGTTATTACGGCAGATTATGTGTAAGGTCAAATACACACGCTTATTCTCTCTCTGCACTTTCTAGCAGCAAATATTTATTGATGTGTTTACATGTTCAGTTGCTGCGACTGTAATCTAAGGCTTTTTTTTTTTTTTTTTACATGATCCATTCAAGAAAAGGTATTATAGCGCACATACAAAACAGCTTTCAATATCGGCCTGTTCTAAGTAGTAGTTAGTAGTTTATACAGGAGACAGGTCTACAATCCAAATCATTTTCAAAATCAAAATATCATATGGTCGGGCTCTACGGGATTTACACTGATCAACACCAGTAACATTGGGTTATTTGATGACCAATGTTTGGGGCGGGTTGTTACGTGCTTTCCACAATTACGGTTGACCAATAATATAGGCTAATTTTGTTTAGGAAAAAAAAATATCAGTGTGCTTTTTATTGGTTAAACATGATGTCAATATCTAAAATGTAAACAATAATAAAGGACAAGAAAAAAAGTATTTTCTTCCCCTTGCTTGGGCTCCAAGAGCGCAGAATACCCATTGGATAATCCGGCCCAGATAGGGTTGCACAGTTAATCAAACTATACTCAAAATAGCAATACAGCCAAGTGCAATATCCAAATGCAGAAGCTGCTTTTTTGGTGAAGGCAAAATGTGCGATGAAGTAGCATTATGATGTAGAAGTGCTGTAGTGCTGCAGAGACACCCTGGCCTACAAATCCTGTTCTCCAGATGTAAGAAACCATTTGTTTGGTACAGACCCAAACAGATCTATAGAACAGATGCTATAAGATGTATAAAAAGTATTTCAACATGCTCCCGAGCTCCTTACAGTACACACGGAGTGAGTAGTGGTGCAATATAAAATGATTCTGTAGTGGGAGCATTGTCTGGTTATTAGTCTGAATACACTACCCCTGAAAACTTAAATTATAATGTTACAATAGAGTATCAAAATATGCACAACAAACAGAGGATGTCGTAAGACTGTGAGACTTATACCTTTATAGGAATGGAAATGGGAACACATAAGCTAGCATTTTTCGATAGGGCAGCGCGAAGTGATAGACTCTGCTATCGATTTGCACTACGGTTGTATTTTTCGACAAGGCAGCATAGGCCTATATCATCACCACATCTGTACTAATAAAATGGGGCACAGTACCGTATTTAATGGCAGGGTATTGCAATACCCTTCTAGTATCAGTATACCATGCAACAGTAGCAGGGCTAACTGTACTATGACACAACACACACTTTTCTATTTATCTGACTGTGTGCAAATATGATGTCCATCCATCCATCCATCCATCCATCGTCAACCACTTATCCTGCGTACAGGGTTGCGGGGGGGCTGGAGCCAATCCCAGCTGACATCGGGCGAAAAGCGGGATTCACCCTGGACAGGTCGCCAGTCCATCGCAGGGCCATACATAGACGAACAACCACTCACGCTCACACTAACACCTAATATACCAAATATGATGTGTTTTAGGTAAAACATGAGACTGACACGCAGGCTGTTATAGGAGCTTAGTGTGGGGCAGCTGCTTTGCACACACACTGGACTGTACTACAACTGGGCGGTTGCAGTGGACAATATATTTCTCGTAACCATAGGTATGCAGAAGAAAAAATATCAGTAATCATGTTGAGTGTTTATTAAAAATATACATACACAAATAACTCAAGTAACAAATAACTTGCAAATACATAAAAGTACACATAATGTATCCATTCCCTCAAGCTGTTACAAACAAGCCTAAATGGTCTGTACTTACAGTTCCTTTCTAGTCTTCTGACCACTCAAAGAACTTTACATTAAATGTCACATTCACACACTGATGGCAGAGGCTGCCATGCAATGTGCTAACTGCATGTCAGAAAGGAACCAATCATTCACGCAATGATGGCCCAGCCTTCAGGAGCAATTTGGGGTAATGTTACCACCAACCTTCCAGTTAGCAGGGGACCCGCTCTACCTCCTGAGCCACATCTGCCCGCAGATATAACATGGTATTTTAAAAAAATAATTTGACTTTAACATTAGTTCTGTGTGAAGATTATCAAGGAGGGGATGATGCCCATGTAAAGGACTTGAGTCATTCTGCAACTGTCTAGGTCAGCTCTAGACTGAATGTGAGTGTAGATAACATCATAAAATCACTGACACTTAAACCAGCTGAGAGAGGTAAGTGTAATGCTACCTTTAGGGTATATATATTCATTGGCTTTCCCAGGTATGCTGAAAGACAACCATGGCCTACAGGCATGTTTTTGGGAAAGATGTGTGTGAGAGGTGGAGGCATCCTGCGGAGGCTGAAGTGCGTTTACACACACTAGCTTGTCAAACAAATGTCATTCATTTTGGCCTTAGAAGCTAACGTTAGCTTTGAGACACTTAATATAACCAATGCATTGTGCTAGGGAACGTTATCTTGAGCAATTCAAATTTGTCACCCACAACACAACACCAAGGGGTCAAGATGGTACATCAAACATGGTAACTGAATGTCATCAGCTTTCATTTTTAAATTTCTGCTAAACAACTTGTCGAAATTGTTAGCCGCACCGTTAGCTAACATCTGCTGCATAATGATGATAAGATGTGCGGTCCCACAGCCACACCCACAATTGATGTTTACATTTTGACAGGTCACCAGCCGTTCACTAACACACAGAACCGCGACATCCCACACAAACGTGCTTTTACTGTAGCTAACGTTACATTCGACTGACAGAAACAGTGGTCACTGTTGGCCTGTTAGCTAACAAACCAGCTAGGCTCATGCTTCATTTCAACACCATATAGCCTGTTGGCTAAACTCGCTAATGTTAGCCTGCCGGTGGCTAGGGTAACTAAGCTAACGTTAGCTCATGAACAAAAGGTCTGACAACGTCGGAGATGCAAACAAACACATAGACATTATAATTGGTAAGGGCTTTCTCAAAAGCTATATATTCTTACCGAAGAGTTGGACCAACACAAGCTGTGTCGGTGCTCTCAATTTCCTGTAAAATCCGCTCGTGCTCCGTTATACACTCCAGGGTTTCATTCTCCGCCATGATTGTTGTGTGTGTGTAATGGCTAAGGCTGTAGCTACAGCCGAGTACAGGTCAGTATGAGGTCTAGCCTGTGGGGGACGCACTACACCTCTAACGAATCAGAAACTGTCAGCAGCTTTGTTTCCACATATCCTGGATATTACAGTAAGTTGGTCACAGCAACAGAATTGCACATACCAAAACCTTTACCCAAACGCACTGGTCAACATCGACAAAACACATTGGCTGTTATGATGATTATGATAAAATTGGTTATCGTGTTTTCCATATTAACAAATAATTAGAAAGGCTCTATAAATATTGCTTCATTATTAATGCACTAACCCTCATTAAAATCATATTTAGTTTTATTGACAGAGATCTGATACTCACTGACAGATACTGTAATTGCATCTTTACTAAAAACTAGAATATAGATTTAATGACTAATCTGCCACCAAAAATGCAGTTAAATTATAAACCACATGTATATTTCCTTTGTTTATGGCATCTCTTAATGTGCATATTACGATCAATCAGCATTTTCAATTACTCACTTTTTAAGTGAGTCCACCATCATCTCATTGAGTTTACCTTAAGGTGGTTCCCAGAGGCAGTTCCACAGATTCTAACTCTGCAAAGATATTCCAAATGGTCTTCTCTTCTTCCTTGTTCTCCTCTTCTCTTTCACTGGGAGGGTCGGGTAAAGCAGCATTTACCCTGTCACAAGCCATTTCTGTCTTCAGACTCAGAAGTATCAGGACTACCAGGATCTCTGCATATGTGAAAGAGAAGGAAAGAAAAATTCTCTCTCTCACACTCTGGTGTGTGTGTGTGTGTGTGTTTGTGTGTGTGAATTCGAGGACACCTGCTATGGTCAGCAGAAAAAGAGGGAGCAACAGGAAAATGAGATCTTGTGATTCATCAGACTTTGAAGCCAACAAAACTAACTTCAGCTACTCCCTGTGTATACATGTGTCTCATTGAGCGTAAACCTTGGAGAAACACCACGAAGAAGCCTAGCTGTATTTATCACTGCAGATTCAAAACACAGTCAGCAGTCAAACTAGAGATTTGATGTTGATTTTTACAGGCAATTAATGAATACAGTGAAAAATAATAAATAATAATAAAGTAATTATTAAAAAGATAATAACATAATAATAAGATAATAAGATAATAAAAGAAAGAATAATATTTAGACCTGTGGTAACACAGAACATATCTGAGGTGAAACATTTGGGTGAAAACTGACCCTGATCGGGTTGAGTTGACAAAGCTCCTCTAGAAACACAGAAGACATCATACAACTGTTTTCACAGGCTGTGTAGTACTCACCTTTCCCTCTGAGAGTGAATTTTCTCCCTCAGAGTGATATATTGTTATGTACATTATTTTATTATTATTACAGAATGTAGGATGTACTAAACATGGATGCACATTGCAGTTGGTCAATGTGTAGCTAATTTTACATATAGGTAGTTTAAGCTATAACCTTTTATTAGGTTATTATAAAGGCTAATCATTTGTTTGCATGTAAAATCTGCAAAGTAACTAAAATAGCTGTCAGATATATATCCATCCACATCTATCTCTAGCCTCCATCTTATCTTTTCCCACAATATTTCCCCTCTGAAATGTAGCACAGTGGACGTATAGTAAGTAAAACTAATCATCCAGATACTTGGGCATATTCTCTGAATATTTAGTCGTTGGAAGGTGAAATAAATAATATTTGTAACAACTGTCAAATTATGTCAGTGTGTAAGTGAGCCACTCAAGGGATGTAGATAAAAATAAATGGTACCACATTTGCGGAAACTGCATTTTGAGTAAGGCAGCAGGCCTTGACCAGTTTACACAACCCCTTTCTATTTCCTGCTATTCTTCTCTAAATGGATTGGCCCATTTGGAGTGTGGATGTAGTAGTTGACAATAATCTCTACACAAAGCCCTGACTATGAGTTTCCTTATTACTCCACCAAAAACAAGAAGTGGGTCACATACATACACACACACACACACACCAGCAATATAGGAAATGTGTCAGAGTTTCAGGAAGATGGCATGATGCTACACAATGGGGGAAAGGGAGGCAGGAATGTATGTAAAGATATAAGATGACAGATAAATGGATGCTCTCTTTCTCTATCTCTCCCTCAATCACACACACACACAGGACTCTGCTTTCTCTTTCCACCCAGCCATTTATTAAATTCTGCCTTTAAATTGGGGTTTTAAAGTAATTATTCAAGTTGAGCAAAATCCAAATGCAAATATGAAATATTCTAAATCAGTTTTCAGGGACATGTTTTTGCCCATGTTCAACGAATGGATGAAAGAAAAGAGCAAACAGGAAGTAAGGAGAGCAGATGCGTGTGAGCAGTTATATCATACATGTCAAATTGTGCATCCTAACCTTTTACTGCGGTTTATTGGTTTCCTGTCTTGTTTTATAGGGAATGAATGACTTGGTTTGTGCTTGTACCTTATTATTGTGCATACATTAGTACATTCATTGAAACACCAACACAGTTACAGTCAAATGGAATTGTAGGGTTAATGTCGCAGTTTTCAAAATATCATCCTTTAGGGGGTGCCAGAAGCACTAGGGGCAGAAAGGGTCCAGATTCAGAGGAAGTAAAAGGAGAAAAATATGCTAGTAAAAAGGATAGAAAAAAACACAACACAATGCAAGATAGATAAATTAAGAAGGAAATGTTTTTTAACTACGTAAAAGTTGATGTTGGAGTTATAAAGGACAGAGGTAGGCTACTTCTGGTATTTTGTTTCACAGGAAGGTTACAGAGGACAAAAATGTGATGTTTTGATGATTGTTGTGTGTATTTTATTTTTCTGTGCTAGCTTAAATTGCATGTACCTAATTTTCATGTTCATCAAAAAAACAATCGGAGAAACATGCAGTGTAATAGCAACCAAGCACTGTGGAAATGTGTGTAAGAGATTTGAATGTGAAGTTTTATTACTTCAGAAACGTTTGTCATGTGGCATTGTATTTTACTAGTCACTGACAAACTTTGTGTTCTGGTTTTGTGGACATTTAAATTAGTAATGAGAGTGATAAAGGACTTTGAAATAACTGCAAATTATCTGCGTTTCGTGTGAACAAATTGTAATTTGAACTGTATGATATGCAGGTTGAGAGAGGATGACAAAGGATTTTCAGTGAGTGGGAGGTAACGACCACCGCTGCTGTGTGTGGAGGAGTCACTACTTCAAGTCAATCTGTGGTGACTCAGCCAGGAGGATTTTAAGTAAAACTCACGTAGAGCTCATACAGGGATTTGCTGGTAATTTATTATTCATTTGATGCTGCAAAATAACCAAATTATGCATACCATTACTGATGTTGAATAAGTGTATGTGGTGAGTTTACATGTTCTCCCCGTGTCTGCGTGGGTTCTCTCCGGTTGCTCTGGCTTCCTCCCACCGTCCAAAGACATGCGGCCTAGGTTGATAGGTGACCCTACATTGTCCTTGTGAGTGTGAGTGTTTTTTTGTCTACTATTGTCCAATTAGGAAATCACTGGGGTGGTTATTGAGTTTGACTCTGAAGAGGCAGTTAAACATCTTAGCCACAGTGTGCCTGTGAGATAGCTGCTTCTAGAGACCCCACTGTGAAGTGGTGCTTAGACAGCATTGACAAAATGTTCCCATTCCAGTGAGGCAGGAAGTTCTAATTCTGGGGAGGGTAAGTCAGATAGTAGCAAATCATCCCTTAGATCCAGACTAGGGATGAAACGATTGCCCTAATCCAGACCTCAGCATAGATCTCAGACTATTCCTGTCACACTCCAGTCTGCCTCTACATCATCTGCTAAGGCGGCAAAACCCAGAAGACCAGCTGTGCCTTTTACTCCAAGACCATAAGACAAACATGTGCTGAGCTCCCAAGATGCTCAACGCATATTAGTAGAACATGTTATCAAAAATGAAGCCTCTTCTTCCCCAAGCCTAGGCTCCAAGTGCCTCCAGTCCTTTTCAGATGTTTCAGGATGGCCTCACCGCTGATATGCAAAGAAGGATTATATTGGAAACTTTCTCCTGCTTCAGACATTGTAATACAACTTAGCTCACATTCCTCTTCGCATCATTTTGTCAGACATCTGTAGTCAGCGTATGGATTTGTTGATAATGGAGAGGAAATCTTTGCCAAGCAGTCACAAGGATGCAGGTGGAAAAGCATCTAAATATATTCAAAGACTGCAAGCACTTCTCAGTGACGCCAACCAACAACTATCCAAGCAGTTCACTCGTGGCTGCTGGGATCAGACCCTGCTCCAGATCAAAACTGAGACTCCACCTGATATCTCTGAACTTCTTTTCCATCTGTGAACAGAAGAGGAATGGAGAGTAGTAAAGATGGGTAGGATGCAACGTCATTTTTGGAGCTCAAAGCTGAAACCTACCTTGCAGTTTCAGTATGTTTCAAAAGCCACTCCAAAAATTAGCTTAATACAAACATTCTGTAGAAATACATAACCAAAACAGAAAGCCTAAGAAAGCAAATGGTGGAGCTATAAGTACAGTTGATAGAGAAGAGAGCTCAGAGGAGGAAGAAACAAGAACAAAAGACAACTACATTACTGGAGTCGCCGACCATAGCAGCTGGCGTTCAAGTACATCAGCATGCCCCAAAGCCAAAACATAAACCTTGGTTGTTTTAAATGTGAGGAGACTGGCCACATTACCAGACAATGTGAAAATGTTCCCAACAAAGACCTGCTTGATAAAAAATACAAAGAGCTGAAAGCCAAACAACAGGAGTGGAAAGCCACGGTCAGTAATTGATTGTGCTTGAATGCACCACAAATCCAGCCAACAAGAAGGTGTGATATTGCAGGGTCCCTGGAACCAGTCCGCAAAGTGGCATTTCTGTGTGTGTATCATGGCTACCGATCAGAGGGCTGTTTCACAAAACCAGGATAGCGGATTAAGCTGGGATTTTCCAGATATCCTGGCTAAATTAAGCCTTGACTCTGGTGATACATTCTGTGCAGCTAGCCTGCTCCAGACCAGGCTAACAGCCAGGCTTAGTTAATCCTGGTGCCTCCTCTGTCAGTCTGTCAGTCAGCGGTCACGCCGATCAGAAACCAAAGTGTTTTTTCAGTCATTCCATGTTCTTATGTAGGCCTATGTGTTTTGCATATTTTTCAGTAGTACTTTGCACACAATGAGCACCAGCGAGTAGGTTTATGTGAAATAAAAGCACTTGTAAAGAATAAATGATAAATAAAAGAAAAAGTAACACGGATACAGCAATAAACCAGCGAAAGAAAGAGTGGCAGCCTATAGTGGACCAAATGAATGTGTGAGAAGCTAAAAATATCACAGCTCTTAACTGAAACTGTCATAATTATAATGTTATATTATATTGTGCCTTACAAGTGAGCACCGGACATTATAGGTCACTCAAGAAATGCATGGCACACACATAATGTAGGATTCCTGTGTCAAATAATCGTCCCTCTTCAATAAGGAGGCTATATTGCACACTGTTTATTCATGAAACAAGAGGGAGAGGACAGAACAATGCTTTTCTTTCCCTGGGATCATCTGCTGCGAGTTTGGGAGAGAAAACAGTGGTTAATACATTTTGCTACATTCATGTTTACAGTGTGCTTTGCAATGATCACCTCTCTTTGTAGTTGCTGGATTTCAAATTTCCAAGTCCTGTTTTTTATTTTGTTAATTTTTTCAAGTGTGTGCAGTTCAGACATCTGACAGTTTGTAAAACACATATCAATTAGCACAGCAGAAATTGTTCACCTTATACTTACTACA